TGTAATGGCAAAATCACTTTTTTTTAACAAAAAGACATAAGAACATTTTTTTCTAAAAAAAAACTTTACCGGAAAACAGGACTCATAACTGATTCATTACCAACTGCATCCGGTGATAGCGATGAACAAATCCAAATTTGCGACACTGAAGTGCCCACAACAGAGCTGAAAAGAGATTCGGTTTTATTTTTTGCAGTCACAGAAATTGTTTTCCTAATTTACTACAACTGGTAATAATGCGGATAACATATTATTGCAGAGGCCTTCTGTTTACTAAGATTTCACTTTTGATTTAGTCCCAATAAGATGTTACCAATTTAAATCATTAAATGCAATGTTATAGATCTTAAGCTATTTCCTAGTAGCGTTAACTACAACACATTTATAGTACTAATTATAATCTGAAAAAAATAATCCAACAATAAACGTACTTCCGATTAAAGAAATATATATCACCACTGAATATGTACGAGCTATTATACCAGCAGGCACCCACCTCAGGAGGATTATTTAACACACGACATAAGTAGTGTATTGACGAGTTGTCCTCTGGAAAAAAAAAAAAAAAAGAAGAAACAGCTCGTCATCATTTGGTCAGCTTATCTGATCGTTAGAAAACATTACTATTCCCTTTCACTAACTCAATATGAACACCTGTAGTAAATGCACAGCATGAACTAATTCCGCGACCTATTCTGAAATAATTAACGGTCAAAAGAAAGGAATTTTGCTATAAATCATAGGTAAAAGGAGTGTTTGTTACACCCGACAGTATACTTCTAAAGAAGTTCGCAATGCCAAACGTCAACATATTCCACGTAACCTCCTCAATAACTAGTTATTTTAAAGTTTAAATTAAAAAACAGCGAACTTCAAAAACTTGGAAGAAATCAACACGAGTCCTACTTATTCTAAATAGAGATAAACAGACTTGCAATTACCAACAGGAAAAAGCAAACCATCGACAGAATATATTGCAATTTCACCAATTCCACCAAACTTCACACCAGCCACAAGAAGCCGTTTATTGTCTGCACTGAACTGAGAGCTTAAAGCACGTTCCCATCCAAGTGCGTCATCCATATATCTTTCATCCAACAAATATACCGGACTTGTTGCGGTCCATATCTGTAACATAATGATGAAGTGAAGGAGTGAAGTGATAAAAAATCAAAGGTTTTAACGGAAGCTTTAATAAATTAAAGTGATGAAAGATCGGCTGAAACAACTGCTGTTTATATATACTGATTTAATGATTTTGAAAGCTAAATGTGAAAGAGGCGGAAGATGTCGGTCGTTCAGTAAACTGTGCCTTCGAGTAAAGGCTGTACGCCCCATACGGCTAGCATTGTCGTTTCAAAACAGCACTCGAACTAATAACTGAATGATTCCATTCAAGGCTATCAGCGACTGTTCGGGTTCACTCAACCGATGTATGATAAATCCTCCAGGTTATTATGAAACTCCCAAGAATATATCAATTCTACGACTCTCTATCCAATTGTTATTACTTCGCTATTGTAATGTGAACCCTGTTTTCGCACTGTAAGAAAAGTACGATATACAGACAACAGGAACATACTTTAAAAGAGGCATCGTTAGCTGTTGTACAAAATAGCTGACCGTCATCGGAAAATGCAACATGTGACAAACCATCTGGACAGTCCCTTAAACTTTCCGTAAGAGTTATCGGAGGCTCAAATTTCAATAGCTTGTATTCATCGATCCAACGTTCACAAACCTGTAAAATACCGATGTTTTGGTAGTACCAACATATCCTCTCCACAACGAGACTCCATACTAGGTATAGCTCAGCATTTATCTCAAGCACCAAGAAAAATAGCTGATTCTGCTTATCACTTCTAAATAATTACTCGTAAGTTCGAAATTTACTTTTCTGTAAGTTTGACTGTTTTGCATAAAATCTTTGAGAAATAAATATTTCCATAATGAATCATCCTCCCCCACACGTCTCCAGTGATAATTGACGTTACCAAGGCGTGCCAATTCTTTCGCCTCTAAGTAAGACATTATCATCAACAACAGTTCGGTTGGCAAGTCGTCCCATCCTTCACTCATTTAATCGCTGAAAGCAGTCCTGCGATAAAGCATAATGCATAGAAATGTTGAAACAATATTAAGTTGGTGCAAAAATAATTCCATTTTCTTACTACCAAACTTCGCAGTTTGCTGTTCCATATTAGGATAAAGTTTTAAATGATATATTGCGGCTACATTATAAATAATTTCAATTTCGATGAAGCTACATTATGAATAATTTTAATTTCTGAACGCCTGATCACTCCTCGAGTTGAACGAATTTGGCTACGAAGTTTTGTATCGTCATCTATTCATCTCACTCTTCGCCAACTTATTGCCACTTCTTCAATCATCTCATCAAAATTTTCCGGAAATTTTTCATTCCGGAATCAACAGCATAAAAGAATGAAAAAATGTTACCCTTAGATCGGAGTACAGATTTTTATGCTGCAGAAATTAACACATTTAATTCATTATATTAATTGTTATAGTTGTTAATCTGACTACTAAAGATATATTTAAGCCTAATTACAACAAAGCACAACCGTAGTCTGGAAATACAATTACTTTTACACCCAGCTTAATATGTCAACAATTGGCATTAATAGTGGATTTTAAGATAATGATCCATAATCCAAAAATTCAAAGATGAAAAGAGACTGGATTGATAAGTATGTGAGTATAATCTGGAACTAAGTTTTTCTAATTTATAGAAACAAAAAAAAATAAAAGGAAAGGAACAAAAGTTAAAAAATGAAAATCGCAATGGCAGTATAGTTTGTTAAAAGATTTGAAACTTTAATTCAATACTTTAAATTGGCCATGCAAATGATAATTTTAACTAATGCATAAAAAGTTCGTTTAGTATGATTCTTTAAGAAAATTTTGATGATTCACTAAAATTAAAAGCTAATAGTACTCGGAAACACGATTGATGTCGGCCGTTTTGTTGACAAATAAAATAGAAATTGCCATTATCCATAAGAATGCAAAGATGAACTGAATGTGTCAAAAACATATCGTTGTTGTCATAAATTATGATCATAGCAGGTATTATCCAAAATCTACAAATGTTAAGAGTTATTAGGAAAAATGCCATGCTTGATTATTCAACAAGGTGATAGAGAGATAAGCCATGATACTGCTGAGATTATGTACATTCACTTTGCCACTTTACCTTTCTAGGCGAACTATGGCTAAATCCCATGGTTACAATAATCACACCATTTAATGGACATTTTCAGGGGTAAAATTAGTTTTGAAAGGTTAACAGAGAATTGATACGGGAGGTACATGCAGCAGGGTTAGGACAAAAGTCATAAACAGTCTGCATCACTCACTGAATGCAAGTGATATATTTAACCTTTTGGAGTGCTGTCACTTCTCTTACTAGTAAAGTCAATAAGTTATCAATTAATATTTCAGTTTTGGATGACCTTGAGAATTCTTGCAGATACCAAATAACCAATGATCATAAGAAATAATATTCGGAAAAAAAGACAAGGGAAGACCCACTTTATGAATTTTGCACAAAGTTTTTTAAGCTTCTTCTTCCCTAGTCAGTTTCAGCAAGATTCAAACATACACTCGTGTGTTAATTCTTCACACGCCTACCATATTACAAGAAGTACAATACACGTCAGAAAATTTACTGCGTATTTTACTCATTCACACTTCCAATGAGGAAACAATAATGACAAAAACTCTACAAGTAATGACATTGGGAATCAGCCATGATGCATAAATAGTGCAAAAAATTAGTTTTTCTGCTTTTATTGTTCATAACATAATGCTAAAAAAACCAACAATGATAAACTACAACAAAAAACAAGGAATAGTATTTTCTTTTTGTTTGGAAGACAAAAAATATTAATAATAATACCAAAAAGCCATAAAAAAACTAAACAAGAAACATATCATAACCAAAATCAAAGGCTTATCATAATAAACAACTATTGATCAAAAACGATGGTCTTAACGGCTTATTGACTAAGATTACTTGAGTACATTCCGGCAAGGTTTTCGATAATAAATGAACGAACGATTGCGTAACAGCTATCCAAATCTAGTAAATACTTGAAGTACATTCCGGTCAAGGTTTTCGATAATAAATTGAAACGTAACGATTTGCGTAACAG